TTGTTTGGCATGTCCAGGCTGGATTCGAACCTGCCAGCTCTGGTGTATGTGGCTGGCACCTTAGCTGCTTGAGCTACAGGTGCTGAGCCTATAGGAAAATTTTTAACTACAAATTCAATTTATTGAGTAGGGTGTTTTTTTTTTGTTTTTTTTTTTTTTGTTTGTTTGTTTTTGCAGTTTTTGGCTGGGGCTGGGTTTGAACCTGCCACCTCTGGCATATGGGGCTGGCGCCCTACTCCTTTGAGCCATAGGCGCTGCCCTCTTGAGTAGGGTTTTTAAGATTGTCTTTTTTAATCTTGAGAGAGACATTGTCTTTCAAGAAATTTCATCTAAATTATTGAATTTATTGGCATAAGTTGTTTTTAATATTTCCTTATAGTTCTTTCAATTTATGTAGAATCTGTAGTGATCTCACTTCTCTCATTCCTGTTATTGATAAGTTGTATGTTCTCTGTTTTCTTCCTCAACTATGTCAATAGATTTTTAACAATTTTATTGATCTTCTCAAAGGAACTATTTCTGGCTTCATTGTTTTTCTCTTTTCTTTTCTTTCTTTTTTTTTTTTTTTTAGACAGAGTCTCACTTTGTTGCCCTGGGGTTAAGTGCTGTGACATCATCGCTCACAGCAATGGCAAACTCTTGGGCTCAAGTGATTCTCTTGCCTCAACCTCTCAAGTAGCTGAAACTGCAGGCACCCGCCACAATGCCTGGCTATTTAGAGACTGGGTCTAACTCTTGCTCAGGCTGGTCTTGAGCCTGTGAGCTCAGGCAATCCACCTGCCTCGGCCTCCCGGAGTGCTGGGATTACAGGCGTGAGCCACGGTGCCTGGCCTTTGTTTTCTCTTTTCAGTTTCACTAAGTTTCTGTTCTTTTTCTTATTCCTTTTCTTCTGCATGCTTTTGGGTTTCATTTGCTCTTCCTTTTATAGTTTCTTAAGGTAGAAGGGAAAAAATAAACTTTCTTCCTTTGTAATGTAGGAATTTCGTGTTTAAACTTCTCCCTAGTGGTTGTATTAGTGGCATCCTGTAAATTTTGGTATGTTGTTTCACTTTCATTCCATTCAAAGTTTTTTCCCAATTTCCTCCTTGATTCTTCTTTGACTTGTGAGTTATTTAGAAGTATGTTATTTAGTTACCAAATATTTAGGGATTTTTCTAAAGACATTTCTGTTAATGATATCTAACTTAATCATTATGCTGTCATTGTGATCACAGCATATACTTCCTATGACTTGAATGATTTTTAAATTTATTGAGGTTTATTTTATAGCGTACAATTTGGTCTTTCTTGGCGTATTTCACGTGACATTGAGAAGTATGTGTATTCTGCCATTGTTAGGTAGAGTGTTCTATAAATGTCAACCATGCCAAGCTGTTTCATAGCATTGTTAAAACATACTATATCTTTGCTGATTTTCCGTCTACTTTCTGTGTCCCATCAAAAGAGGGACATTAAAATTGCTGACTATAAATGTGGATTTGTTTATATTTTCTTACTTCATGAAGTTGGAAGCTCTATCATTAGACTTATAAATGTTAAGGTCTATTATGTGCTTCTAATAAATTCACCCCTTTATCGTTATGAAATGACTTTCTTTCTCCTTAGTAGTAGTCTTTATTCTGAAAGCTACTTTGATATCCACATAGCCACCCCAGCTTTCTTTTGTTTGGCATGAACATGGTATAGCTCTTTTTATCCTTTTACTTTTAACCTATTTGTGTCTTTGTATGTAAAGTAGGTATCTTGTAGGTAGCATGTAGTTGGGTCTCACTTCACTATGCTATCTGAAAATTTCTGCCTTTTAATTGGGGCGTTTAGGTCATTTTTGTTTAATATGTCTCTGGTTAGGCTTAAGTCTGTCACCTTGCTAGTTATTTCTTGTCTGTGGAGTTCTGTTTCTGTGTAGCTCTCTCTTCTCTGGTACTCTGTCCTCTGAATTCCAGCTGCCTTGATTCCACTCGGATTCCCCCACTCTGTACCATGTCTTGAAACTTTCATCAAGGCAGTGAGCTAGGCATTTGTAGGGCTGACCGTGTTTGTTTCCTGACACTCAGGATCACCCTCCTTCAGTGTATGATGTCCAGTGTCTTGGCAGTCATTGCCGTGGTTTCTAGTGTGTAAATTTGGTTCCCGTTACTCCATCTTGGCAGGAATGCCTGTTGAGGAGTACTTTGTGTTAGGCACTGCTCTCCAGACACTCATCAATGAATAACACATGACCCTTCCCTCAAGCCACTGATTTTCTGGCAGAGCAAGCAGGATGGGGAGTAAGTCCAAGCACCATCCCTAATGGGCTCCCCAATCTTGAGCCAGTGCCTCCTCTTGAACCTCAGACCACTACCAACTATTATTGCTGTTGTTTCTTATTCTTTACCTGAATCTTGAGAAAAGGGCCTTCCTACCCAGAAAACCTTTTAATGAGAAATGACAGTAGTGGCTCCGCACCTGTCGCACAGTGGTTACGGCATCAGCCACATGCACTGAGGCTGGTGGGTTTGAACCTGGCCCAGGCCAGCTAAAACAATGACAACTGCAACAAAAAAATAGTCGGGCATTGTGGTGGGCACCTGTGGTCCCAGCTTCTTGGGAGGCTGAGGCAAGAGAATTGCTGAAGCCCAGGAATTTGAGGTTGCTATGAGCTGTGACACCATGGCATTCTACCAAGGGTGATAGAGTGAGACTCTGTCAGAAAGAAAGGAAAGGAAAGAGGGAGGGAGGGAAGGAAGGAAGGAAGGACAGTAGTATCACTTGATGTTTATTGAATTTTGTTTTTATTTTTTGTATTGTAATGGTTTAAAGTTTTCTTTATACTACAGAATTTCCTTCAGAGTTTTCTGTGCATTGACTTCTTAGATTAGAAAGGTATGCTATCTTTAAGATTTTTTATATCTGTTTCCTAAGAAAAATGAAACTTAAGCCTCAGAAGGTGGAGAGGAGAGTTATTAAGATTTAAAATTCCCAAGGGTGAAAGTGTCAATTAGTGTGACCTTTCTGGAAAGCAATTTGGCGGAATCTAATTAGCCCCTCTAAATGCAGTTTACACTCTTGACTTTGTAATTTCATTTCTAGAAATCAGTATGTCCTAAGGAAATAATCCAAAATATGGAGCATTGTGCACCACCATAGCCATGGTGGCATTATGTGGTAGTAGGCTTTAGAAACATTATAAATGGGCTCGGTGCCCATAGCACAGTGGATATAGCGCCAGCCACATACACCAAGGCTGGTGGGTTCGAACCTGGAACCACCCGGGCCTGCTGAACAATGGCAACTGCAACAAAGAACGACCAGGCATTGTGGTGAGCACATGTACTCCCAACTACTTGGGAGGCTGAGTTCAAGAGAATCGTTTGGGCCCAAGAGTTTGAGGTTGCTGTTAGCTGTGATGCCACGGCACTCTACTGAGGGTGACATAGTGAGACTCTGTCTCAAAAAAAAAAAAGAAAGAAAGAAACATCATAAATGTCCACCAAAAGAGAGAGGAGTGGGTTAATAGGGTGATTCCTATGCTATCTTATATAGCTATCCATCAAAAGTTGGGTTTGTGAAGAGTTATAACATATCTGTAGTGACAGCTGTGAGTACAGAATTAAGCTCGCGGGATGCTCTCAGCACTGAGCAAAGACAGGCCCACAGAGGACAAGGATCAGAGGAACTGTGCCCAACCTGCTGGATGGTTTCCCCAGGGACATTTTCCCTGCTTTTATGCTTTTCTATTGTTTCCAGTTTTCCTGTGATGAATTAACTTTATATTTAACAAATTAAAGGGAAAAAATTAAGCTTTCAAGGTTCTTGTAGTTCTTCCAGTTGATGACTAAAGAATAGGACAATTTTAAAGAAAAAGAAGAAAAAGTGATTTAAGATGCAATAAAAAGGGCTTGTTTCCCTTACACACAGAACGTGTTCAAGCGGCCCACTGTGCTTTGTGTCTTGCACGTGAGGAAGTGAAGTAAAACGAAGTCTTTAAAACAAAAGTTGCTGTGTGTGAGGACGCTGAGGGCCAGGATGGAGCCAAGGGTTTTACAAGCATGAGCTTCCATGGTCCCCTCTAGAGAAGTGAAGTGGCCTGTCTGGGTGGCACAGCTGTCAGGGGTGGAGTCAGGGTCTCCATGTCACCGGAGCTGGCTTCTCTTCAGTGTTACTGATACTCTGGTGCCAGAAGAGGTGAGAGGTGACTGCCATCAGGGAGCAGGGCCCAGTCTTGCTATTCTGACCCTAACGTGGGTCTGTGCACCTCACCCTACAGAGGAGTAGACTGAAGTTCTGAGATCCAAGGCTATGCTGGGGTCCTTAGCCTGCTGAGGGTCTGACCCTAGCAGTGACTCTGGTGGACACGGGTGTTGGAGAAGGCCCTTTTACTATCACAGAGGATGCTGCCTCCATTGCAATGACAGGCCCTAGAGTTCTGGGCCGGTTTCACTGTGTCTCTTAGTACCATCGCTCCCTGTGGCAGGTGCTGCCTGGCAGTGTTGTGAAAACCTAGGACAACAGGTTGGAATCTCAATAAAAGCAACACAACAATTTGGCTGCAAAATCAAATTTTTACATGTGTCTTATCAACCTACCGATTCCACTTCTCAGACTCTGCCCTAAGAACAGGTATGCAGTGCTCAGGGATACTTGCGTGGTTCTTTTGCAAGCCTGCAGAAACCTGCTGTGGGCCATGGATGGAGGGTGTCCTCTTCTCATAGGACCCACTACAGCTGCCACAAAGGGCTATGTGACATCTGCATAGAACACGGACATCGTGCCACCACCTACTCTAGGGAATATGCAGATGTGGGGGGTGTGGTAGTTTCTGTCTTCACTCTGGATGCTGCTGGAATATTTGAGCTTTTGCAGTGAGTGTTTAGCAAGCGTGAGTGTGCTGCTCCATCACTTTTGCAGTCCTGAAAACAGTTGAAACGCACCGTGCATATTTCTAGCAACAGTTGAGAGGTGCTGGCCGGACGTGGTCCCCAGCGTGCTCTCCTGTCCCGTTTCAGGACAACGTGCTGAACATCATCAACCAGATCATGGACGAGTGCATCCCTCAGGACCGTGCCCCGCGGGACTTCTGTGTCAAATTCCCTGAGGAGATTCGGCATGACAACCTGGCCGGCCAGCTGTGGTTCGGTGCCGAGGTAGCGGGCAGCCGCCTGGTTCTATGGTCCCCATGGTGTCCCTGTGAACCTCATCCAGTGGCACCTGATGGTACAAGGACCTGGTGTCTCCTCCATGGCTCATCCTGAGCCTAATAGGCCATGTACCCCTAAGCAGGTCTGGGCAAGCCGTAAATTTGGGCTCCCCAAACTGCACGTGAAAATGAAGTCCCCAAGTGATTTTTATGAGGTTCTCAGACCCCCAGACTTGTTGGACCCAATACCAGTTCTTAATAGCAGTAGTAATCAAGAATGGGAGAGCCCCAATTTTGATATGAGGACAATTAATGACAATTATTGTCACAGTGGGGGTGGGGGAAAGGAATAGCAAAGAGAGGGGAGGAGGGTGAGGTCTTGGTGTGTGCCACACCTTTGAGGGGCGAGACACGTTTGTAAGAGGGACTTTACCTAACAAATGTAATCAGTGTAACCTGGTTTCTTGTACCCTCAATGAATCCCCAACAATTAAAAAAAAAAAGAAGGGAAGATCCCCTCCATCACCACAGCAAGCGTGACAGTGGGGTAGGGAGCTGTGTCACTACAGCCCCTCAGACTTTATCTTTACCTCCCAATGAAGAAGTGAGGCTTCGAGAGGATGATGCCTGCTCCCTACAGGCAGGTGGGGCCAGCCTCCCCCAGCTTCCACCATGTGGACTCCCCCAGGCTCTTTCCCCTTGGCTGTACCCTGGTATCTGACTGCATCCCTGACACCTGTCCCTTGGTTGTCCTGCCCTCTTGCCTCGCCTCTTGATGGATCCCTGGGATGCCTAAGCCCTTACATGATGCCACCCAGCAAGTGTGCCCATCTGCTCCCCATTTCACATTCTCCTGTGCCCACCTGTCTAGTTGGGGTATCCTCTGCCAAGGCTGCAGCGGTGTGGGTGGCCCCTGGGCAGGTTATCCCTCTTCCCCAGCCTCACTTTTCACCTCCGTAAAGTGAGAAATGGGTCCCAGACAAAGTGTGAGGAGTTGTGAGGAGGGGCAGGCCCTGCACCCCTAGCTTGATGGGCATGTGGTACTCAGGGCACTGTCGGCTCCTGTGTGGTCCTGGTGCCTGCAAGCTCTCTGCCCCTCCCCAACGTCCCCGAGAGTAGGTCTGGGAAATTCTCCCTGCCCTCTCACCTGGGAAATAGCTTCTTGTCCTGCTTGTCTGATTACAGCTGACACATGGGCAGTTTGATTGGTTCTGCCCTGAACCCACTGAAGCTCTGCTTTGAGGGAGCACCTCTGTCACAGCACCCCTGCCCTGAGAGTGGCTGGTAGGACCCCATGTCACTGACATGCCAGGGCCTGCCCCTAGAGCCCACAGCAGACATGGGGGTTCATGGGTGCAGCAGGCCCTCTCTGCCAGCCTGGGTACCTGGTGGTGATTCTGAGCATATTGACAGCATGTGTCCGACTCCCTCAAAAGGGCAGCATCCTGAAGTTAGGATAGCCATCTTGAGGGGTGACCATTGCAGGTGGGAAGACAGGCATGAAACCTCAGGGCATAGCAGGCCAGGTTTCTCGGGACAGGGTGACTCCTGAGAGCCGCACCCTCCATCCTGGCTTCTCCCTTACTGTGTCTCTGCCCCACAGTGCTTGGCTGCCGGCTCCATCATCATGAACCGTGAGCTTGAGAGCATGGCCATGCGCCCACTGGCTAAGGAGCTGACCCGCAGCCTGGAGGATGTGCGGGGCACCCTCCGAGACCAGGCACTACGGGACCTCAACACTTACACGGAGAAGATGCGGGAGGCTCTGAGGCACTTTGATGTCCTATTTGCGGAGTTTGAGCTGAGGTAACAGGGTTGCCTGTTGGAGCTGTTGGTGGAGCCAGCCTTTGCTTTGTGAGTGGAGGGGGGTTTGTCAGCTCATGGGAGCTCACTTGAATATTTCAACTAAAAAATTCTGCAGAGAGAGGAGTCCAGGGGTTAGGCCATGGCCCCCCCATAGTTAACTCTGGGGGGCACAGCTTGGGGACGGAAGTCAGGCAGAGGGGACACAGGTGGGGCCAGTGGGGGTCTGGCTGGACTGAGCCCTTGGGGCAAAGAATTTGAGAGGCCCACATGGCTAGGCATCTTTGACAGGGCCATAGACAAGATAGCACTCGAAGTAAGTGAGAAAAAGAGGAGGCAGCATTGTGTCTGTAGTGGTCCTGGTTAATAAAAAGTGTCATCTTGTCATCTGCCGACCTCTAAGAAACCAGCCATCACTTTAAGGGCTGTAGGAAATGAGGGCACAGAGTTTTATTTTCTCCTGGCCTTCCTGTGTTCCCAGATTTGCTGAATAAGCTTTCATAAGAAAAAATCAGTTAGTGACCTAGAGAGAAAATGTTCTCATGTGGAGATGGCTGGACAAGCCTTAAAGTCCTTGCAACCACCCAACATGTTTCCTGCGAGTGCCTTTGCAGCCTGGGAAGCTTCCAGGGCCACTGAGGTGCCCATGGCATGACGCTGCTGTGCGGAGCTCATGTGTGTACCCTGTTCATCACACAGGCCTGCCCGCCTTTATCCATTCTGTCACTTGCTCACGGTTAGGAGCCAGGGCTACAGTAGGAGACAGTCCTTGGACATCGGCAGTGCCAGTTCCAGGGTCATCAGGGCTGACCAGAAGGCTGTGGGGCCTAAGTCTGCCCTGGCAGGAGCTTTGATTTAAAATAGTTGTGAAGCTGGGAGTTGTGTTTATGAAACTGTAGAAATGGGGCAGGGCTGCAGTTTCAATACCTTGAAGGAGAGGCCTGCAGTGGTCTGAGGGTGGACTTAACCTTACTTGCTTGTGTGTGCAGCTACGTCTCGGCCATGGTGCCCGTGAAGTCCCCCAGGGAGTACTATGTGCAGCAGGAGGTCATCGTGCTGTTCTGTGAGACGGTGGAGAGGTGAGGACAGGAGGGGAAGGCAGGTGTCTGACAGTCCCTGCTCCTCCTCCTTGCTGACCTGGGCCTGGGGTGGAGGGCAGCTTGGGCTATCACTCTTCCAGGGCACGTGCGGATGGGAAGGCACAACCCCAACGCATGCGCTTCCTATCCCTCCACCTGCGGCACCATCTCTCTCCCAAAGGGGAGATCTACAGGCGAAGTCACAGTTCAGAGGAGGAAGACTCAGCAGTGTTGGAGGGGACTGCCAGACCTTCTTGCCTCCCCCTCCTCCCTCACCTCCTCACCTCCTCATCCCTTACCGCCTCACTCCGAGCCCCTCACCCCACACTTCCTCATTCCTCACCTCCTACCTCCCTCCTCACCTCTCACCCCTCACCTCTTCCCCCCCACCCTTCACCTCCTCAGCCCTCACCCCCTCACCTCATCACCCCTCATCCCTCACCCCTCACCTCCTCATATCTCACCCTTCACCCCCCACCTCCTCACCCTTCATCTTCTCACACCTCACCCCTTCACTGCTCACTCCTCACCTTCTTACTCATCACCCCCTCATCCCTTACCTCCTCCCTTCTTAGCCCCTCATCCCCTCACTCCTCAACCCCTCACCCCTCAGCCCTTAACAACCCTCACTTCTTCACCCCTCACCTCATCACCTCTTACCTCCTCACCCCCTCATTCCTCACCTCCTCATCCCTGACCCCTCACCCTTCACCCCTTACCTCTCATCCCTTACCTCTTCATCCCCACCCCCTTACCTCATCAACCCTCACCTCCTCACCCCTTCACACCTTTACTCCCTCACCCCTTCACCCCTCACCTCCTTACTCCTCATTCTTCACTTCCTCACCCCTCACACCTTCACTGCTCACTCCTCACCCCTTCACACCTTTACTCCCTCACCCCCCCACCCTTCACCCCTTCACCCCTCACCTCCTTACTCCTCATTCTTCACTTCCTCACCCCTCACACCTTCACTGCTCACTCCTTACCCCCTCACCTTCTCATTCCTTACCCTCACCTCCTCACCCTTTACCCCTTCATTCTTCACTCCTCACCCCTTTACCCTTCACCCCTTCACCCCTCACCTCCTCTCTCCTCACCTCTCACTTTACTATCCTCCTCAATTCTATCAGCCAGGATGGGGTTCTTGCTGGGTTTCGTGTCTGCTGAACAAGGCTTTGTGTGGGTGAATCATCAATATTCTCATCAGGCCTTTATGGTTATTAAAGTCACCTTTTCTGAATGATTTTGGGCTTCAGATTTAACCTAGAGTCTTTCTGTGATTTGACTAGCATTATGGTGTTTGGTATGTTTCAGAACTGCTTGATGTCACATCATGAGTTTATTTTTAAAAGATGAAATATTTAGTGTTCATGCTTTCAGAGATATTTCAAATTGCCAAAAAATAAGATGGCTGAAAATACTTTTTATTTTGATCACCAATTACGCCAGCAGGCCTGCTCATCATGTGTAGAGGCCTGCACACACCCAGGGCATGAAAATACATCCAGTTTCTCAAGGAAGTCTTATTTGGGGGGTAGTGTTTTTGTTATGTGTTTATTCTGAACACTTGAGTTGTTTCTATTTCTTGGGTAGGCAAAGCCATTGATTGCATTATCTTTCTATTTTTGTTGGACGTCACAGCTGTCCCACTCATTGTACCCACCCCCCTGCTTCCTGGGGCAGAGGTGGGGCAGGCAGATGGAGAGCTGAGCAGGCTGAGCTTCAGCCACCTTGCCCGGGCCATCAGAGCAGAGCATGGGTTTCCTGCTAGCATCAGCCCTCAGCTTGTGCGAGACACGAGTCAGCCTTTGGATGTGTCTGCTGAGCATGGCCACAGGCACGGCGTGAGCATGTTGTCCCCTGCCCAGCTCTGGTCTGAACCGAGGATGTGGGTGGGCCAGCCTTGCCCTGCTCACTCTCTCCCCCTTGGACAGGGCCCTGGACTTCGGGTACCTGACCCAAGACATGATTGACGACTACGAGCCGGCCCTCATGTTCACCATCCCAAGGCTGGCCATCGTGTGGTGAGTGCCCCTCCCGCTGGGACAACTGTCAGGTCTGGCACCAGGTCCCCGCTGGGTGCTGGTGCATGGTGCTCACACCTGGACAGGTGCTGCCTGGCTGCCCAGACCAGGTGCCAGCAGGTCTGCCGTCGGTCCTCGGCAGGTGAGGAGCCAGGCATTCTGCGTGTGTCCTATGCACCTTGTTGGCAAGGGAGGGGCCTCCCGCCTTAAACAGTGCGGATGGCCAAGCATCCCCCTGGACAAGGGAGATGGGAGCAACTTGTTAGTCACAAAATCACAGCCCATGGACCATGCAGGGCCACACAGGGTGTACCACGTGGAGTGCACTCAGGAACAGAGTGACTGCTCAGTGGCTGTGGGAGGCAGGTTTTGTAGTAACAAGGGGAGGAGGTGCCCTTGGCTTCCACAGGAACACATGATAGGTCTGCTTGAATAATTCTGAGGGCTGGCAAGGAGGTGGAGCCCATTAGACTGAAGACCAGATGGGTGCAGCTGGTTTGGCTGAGAATGGGGGCATACCTGTGGGGAGAGAGGAGCTTACAAGTAGGTTTTGGGGCTCAAAGGTGTTAAGACAGCTTGTGGAAATTTAGGCCTTAAATCCACTGAGGGGCACAGTGGTAGGGACACTGAAAAAGCATCTCTGAGCTTCTGGGGCCAAGTTAGAGCCCAGATATCTCACTGCTGTGCAGCCACAGCCTGACTCCAGGCAGGGACACCCTTCCCTCCTGCCAGGTGAGTGGCCATTGAGAGAGGAGAGGGAGTGAATGGACCACAAAGAGCTTGGTGGAGCAGACTGGTGCACTTGCAGGTGTGAAGTGGCTGGTGAAAGTGTGGGGTAGGCACAGAGGCTAGGACCAGTCCAGGATCAAGCCATGGAGAGGTCCTGCTGAAGGCCCCGGGCACCCAGAACAGAGGTGCACACAGCACTGTGCTGGGGTGAGCATAGGCCCTGCCCACAGGGAACGGGCAGTACCAAAGGGAGTGTGGGGGCAGTGGCAGTGCCGCCAGACAGGCCAGCCTTCTGGGCCAGTGGAGGACAGAGGCGCTTCCTCCAGCTTCGGGACAAGTCAAGTGCTGCAGGCAGGAGTTGGGAGCCTGGGGGCAGGGTGGAGGGAGTCCAGACCTGCCCTGGCAGTCTGCTCGATGTGTCTCAGAGCAGCCTTGAGGGTAGGGTGTGTTTCGAGGGTATCTCTGGAAGCCTTCTGGTCCAGGCTTTGCCAGACCCCTGTCTGACAGCTCAGTGCTCACTCCTTTCAGAGTCAGCCAACAGCAAAGCGAGACTGAGCTATAATCCTCGTATTCATTAGGATTTCCCTTCACCTGGGATGTCCCCAGTGCCAGCATGGAGGTGGCTTGAAGGAGCGCATCCTGGTGCACCGAGCACCCTTTGGCTGGCCACAGGATTTTGTGATGTTGGTTTCTTACCAAGAAGTATCACTCCGTGGCCAAACTCATTTTGAAGAAGATGATGGAGGGTTTTGGTCCTTACTCTTCCTTTTGTTTAAAAAACAAAACAACAGGCTGGGCATAGTGGCTGTTAGCACTCTGGGAGACTGAGGCGGGTGGATTGCCTGAGCTCACCTGTTCGAGACCAGCCTGAGCCAGAGCGAGACCCCCATCTCTGAAAATAGCTGGGCATTGTGGCTTGTGCCTGAAGTCCCAGCCAGGCTGAAGCAAGAGAATTGCTTGAGCCCAAGAGTTTGAGGTTGCTGTGAGCTGTGATGCCACAGCACTCTACCAAGGGCAACATAGTGAGACTCTGTCTCAAATTAAAAAAAAAGAAGCCCCATCCCACATGATGAGGAGTAGGAAGGAGTAGGGAGGAGGGAGCAGGTCTGGCTCTGGGGACTCCTGAGGTGGCCCAGGTTGTAACAGAGCCACTGCCCTGCAGCTGCTGCAGCCCAGGTTGTTGGCCCCTCTCTCTCCTCTCCCCACCCCACATTGTCCACAGTAGCCACTGTGGGCCTGACAGGGAGAGAACAGAGCTACCCAGCGTGGGGCCTAAGACTTGCTCCTTCCGGTATTCCCTCAGGAGCATGTATTGAGTGACTGCTGTGTACCCAGGGATACTGCAGCACCCATGAGGGAGATGGGCTTGTGATGTATACACCAGGTTCAGGTGAGCAGATGAGCAGTTGCTGTGCAGTGTTCTGGATGCTGGCGGCTCCTCACTCAGGACCCCCTGGGAGACAGGAGCTGGGAGGTGGGGAGGGGTCCCCAGGCAGCCTGCAGAAGTAAACCTGAAGCAGTATGGGAGCCAGACAGGCACTAGAGCTTGGGATTAGGGACACACTGGGCACCTGACAGGTACTTGTACAAAAATAGAGACCCAGGCAGGCTGGGCCCACCCCACAGGATCGAACTGTGATATGAGTGTCCTCAGTCCCCCAGAGCCCCTCAGTAAACAGTGTCACAGAACAATGACCATGTCTGCCAGTGTTCGTGGTGTGCCAGGTCCAGTTTTGAGGGGCTCCCAGAGCAAAGGCACTGCTCAGGCGAGCAGCTGGAGGTGGCAGGGCCAGGGCCAACCTTTGGGTCAAAGCCAGTGCCTGAGGACACAGGGAGGCCTGCCCAGGAAGAGGCAGTGGGTGGCTGAGGGCTGAGGGTCAGAAAAGGCTAGTGAGTTTGGTCCTCACGCACAGGCTGGTGGAGATAGTGTGGACAGAGCCAGAGTGTCCTGAGCCCCTGCTGTCCCTGTGCCCCTGGTAGGGATGTGCGTTCTGGTGGAGTGTATACACCAGGTTCAGAGACTCCTCCTCCACAATTTGGTTGTACTTTTAGGACTTCCTAGCCCCCTTCCCCGACTCCCGTTGACTGTGGTCTCTGGCGCCAGCCCGGGACCCACGAGGCCTTAGTGATGTTCCTCGCCTGGGCTAGGCGCTGTCTACTCTCACAGCTCTCCCGGCCCTGGCTTGGGGCAGGGCTCAGACTGGACCTGTGCTGAGGGAGGCTCTGCCCCCTATCCCCTCCAGCTCCACCCTGCCCCCTCCCCATCTTGCTCTCCCACCTGCGCTCAGTCGACCCTGCCAGAAGCTGCTCACGTGGGCCATGGGTGCGTCAGGTCGGCATCCTCCTTGGTAGCCCCTGGCCCACCCACCAAATAATAGGCTGTCACTCACCCCTGCCCAGAACCTCCAAGGTTCCAGTCCGGACCTGTTCCTGAGTCCGCCTGGCCTTGCCCGGCCTCACCCTGCCCTCTCCAGGGCCCTGCTGTCCAGTCCTGTCACCGGGCCCCGCCCCAGCCAGCCCCTGGCCCCGCCCCATCACCGGGCCCCGCCCCCACCGCACCCCAGTCACCCACCCGGCCTCCGTTCGGCTCCAGCTTCCCTGCTCCCTCAACCCTCTCCACCACCGGCTGAGCGACCTACTCTCTGTCCTACGACTCACCATCTGAAGTGTGCCATTCCGTGGGTTTCAGTATGCGCCCAGAATTACAGCCTTAGTCACCACTAATTTCACATTTTCATCACCCCACACTGCCCACAGAGATGCCTCTCACCCCTTGGCCATCACGCCCATGCCTAGTAATCCTTAATCCTGTCCCAGCCCTAGCAAGCCGCTGACCTGGCCCGTCTCCGTAGATTTGCCTGTTCACATGGTTCATCGGCTGGGGTTGGTACTGCGTGCTGTCTCACACCCGACGTGAGTGCTGGACGCAGGGTGCTCACACCTTCGTTCCCGCGCTGCCCTCAGTGCCCGGCCTGTGGCAGCACAGTGGATTTCGCAGGACTTTGTTGAGTTGGTCTGATAGGGCACAAATATTTATTAACAAAGATTGTCGGTTAAGTGTTACCGTAATCATAAAGATTCGAGGGAGGTTGGATATCCAAAATTAGGGGATTGATTAAAAATGATGCTGTAGCCATTTAAATAGTGTTGAAAATTTTCTAATGCCATGCAAAAAAATTCCTAGTGTATCAATTATAAAAATTATCAAATGTCTGTGTTTTACAAAATGTCTTAATATATAATGGGTCAAATTTTTATAAATAGAAATTAAAGAAATAAATGTCCTTTTTCGTGTGGCAAAATATGCATAATATAAAACTGATCATTTAAATCCTTTCTTGAGTGTACAATTCAGTGGCATTCAGTATATTCACATTGTTGTTCAGCCATCACCACCACCCATCTCCTTTTCACCATCCCAAACTGAAACTCTGTCCCCATCAAACACTGAACCCTTTTCTACCCCATAGTTAAACCTCCTTTTAACTACTCAGGGGCCCTACAGGATTTGTCTTTTTGTGACTGGCTTATTTCACTTTGCATTGTGTTTTCAATGTTCATCCATGTGTCCGAATTTCCTTCCTTTTTAAAATTAATATTCCTTTGTATGTAATTAAATATTATTTTAAATATAATTTGAAATAATATTCCAGGGCGGCACCACTGGCTCAGTGGGTAGGGCGCTGGCCTCATATACTGAGGGTGGCGGGTTCAAACCTGGCCCCAGCCAAACTGCAACAAAAAAATAGCTGGGTGTTGTGGTGGACGCCTGTGGTCCCAGCTACTTGGGAGGCTGGGGCAAGAGAATTGCCTAAGCTGGGGAGTTGGAGGTTGCTGTGAGCCGTGATGCCATGGCACTCTACCAAGGGTGTTAAAATGAGACTGTGTCTCTAAAAATCAAATAATAATAATATTCCAAAGAGTAAAACAACTAGGAATAAATTCAACCCTGAAGGTGAAAAGTCTATATAGCATTGCTGAAAAAAATTTAAAAAGACTAATTACATGGAAAGAGATCCCATGTTCATGGATTGAAAGGCTTAATATAATCAGATGGCACTACGCCCTAAAGTGAACTACACATTCAGTGGAATCCCTGTCAAAATCCACTGGCATTTTTTTTTCTTTTTTTGCAGAAAATGGAAAAGGTGTTCCTTAAATTCATATGGAACTCCAATGGGCCCTGAATAGCCAAAGCAATGTCAAAAAAGAAAAACAAAGTTGGGGGACTCACACATCCTGATTTCAAAACTTACTACAAATCAAAACAG